CCCCGCGGGCCGGGGGGGGAGGCGCCCGGCCGCGGGTACCGGTCCTGCAGCCAGCGGCGGGGCGGCGCGGGTGAAGCAGCTGTGGGTCCGCCTTTGCTTTCCAGCTCCCTTATCAGTTGGTACTCGAGCGCAGAAGAGCAGCTGAGTGCTGCAGTTGTTCTGTGGCCGCTTCTGCCCGAGCGCAGCGGTGCCCGGCCTGTGCTGGCGATGCTGCGTTTGTACGGAGGCAGGGCGCGTCCGCTGACCCAGGCCCCGCTGCTGGGGTGCTGGGCAGGCAGGGCCGGGGGCACGCAGCCCCTCTCTGGGAGACGGGCGCTCAGTCCCACGCGCGGGCTTCCAGTGAAGAAGTACCGGGGCGCGAGCGTGGGTTTTGCTTTGCCGCCTTTGTAGCTGGAAAGCATCCCCTTGCACCTCGCCTGGCTTTGCTCAGCGCGCGTGCAGCCGACTGCTTGTCCTAGACCGGGAACGTGGAAAATGGTGACTGTTCCCTGTGGCTCCTGTTGTCTCTATTAGGGTAAACACGTTCATTTTCTTCAACTCTTTCTTCCTAGGTCACCTTCTCTAGATTGCTTCCTGATCGTTTTACTTCCTGTGGCTTTTCAAGATTTTGTTTAGAGGGTAGTATCTCAAAAAAATGAGGCATTTCAAGTGCAGCACTGAATGTACGTTATGAAGATGTGTCCTTTCTCTATTATGACTATATTTGTTAATGTAGGGAAATAGAACCTGAGGACTACAATATGATCCCTCTGTAGGGCCTGGGGCTATGTTTGTTTCTCTGTATTGTCCAGTAAAATGCTATGGAGGTCTACTTGATCAGTGAAACTGTCTCGCCCCCAGCTTTGCATGGCACTGTGATTTAATGAAAGAAGCACTGATGAATCTTTTTAGCGGGAATACATAAACTTGCGTTCCCTTTCCATAGCTGTATTTATTTCCTTGTTATCTGTGTTGTTTTAATCTGCTGTGATTGAAAGTGCGTGAAGACTTAACACCAGAATTCAAAACTATTCATGTTTATACCTGGAGATGAATTTATTGGAGCAGTTGACTGCACTGCAGCAGTAGACGTGTGTATCGGTTAAGCTGCAGCAGTCACTCGTTTTAACAACTGCTCTGAAAATCAAAGTCTTCCTGGACTTTCAAGTTAGGTTCTGACTCACTCTTTACCGCTTCTGAATTAAGCACATGAAAATGAAAGATGCTGTACTTGTTTTTCTGCTCAGACTTTAAAAAGTGAAAATTAGAAGATTTCTTAATACATTCGGTCAGAATTGTTAGGTACAAGCATCTGTTGTTTTGTAGCATGCAACTCGCTAATACCACTTTCTGTCTGTGGAGGTGTTGCTGTATAACCTTTGAACTCCTGAAACTTGAAGGAAATACTGCAAATACGTCAAAATCAGCTAGGAATTTCCCATCTCTATTTTTTTTTAGTGTTTTGTTTGTCTACAAGTGACTTTTAATTCAGCTCCTTTCTGAGGAAAAAGTAGTAAGAAGGTCTATGCCATGACTTTCTCATATTATTTTGTAGCCCTCTGGATTTAGAGCAGTGCTCTCTCAAAGTGCTGGAGCCAGAAGGAAGTCCAAGCTGGAGTCTCCTGAAACTGCTGGGAGATCGGGGTTGCACTGTGGTGGAGCTTGCGGAGTTCTTGCAGGCCCTGGAGCATACAGAGGCTCTTCAGTGTCTCAGCCATTCAGGTCAGTTCTGGTTTGTCCTTTTGCTACAACTGTATGTTTTACACTGGAAACACCGAAGTGCTTGTTTTCTACAGTAAGTAAAAACATCTTTAGTGTTTGAATTCTAGTACTTGGTGTTCGTATGATTACCATAGTAATTGGCTCATATGATTCTGAGATTAAAAGTAAGCCAAGTACATAAGCAGGCTTAATGCAGTGTTGTTGTAGACTTGGACTTGGCTGCATAGATATGACAGGTGCTGTCATTCCCTCTGCTGTCTTGGGTTCTGTATCAAACTATGCCTTTGGGAGATGCTCATAGAACTGAAATGGTTGAGCTAGAAAGACAAGTAGTGTTGCCAGCCATCTGTTTGGGGTACAGGTTTCGTTAACTGCATTTCCTAGTTTACTGTAATTGAAGGGGAAGGGTCCAATTAGTGCCAGTTCTGGTGCGTATTGGATCCAGTCCAACTTGCTAATTGGACAGAAAAACAGACTAACTTAGGATAGAACTAGATTATTGTCTGCTAACACATTCAAAACTTGCTTCTTCACAAAACGTCCAGGAAGTGGGGCAATGCAAGGGAATGCACAGGTAAAACCATGTAGACCAAGTGCTTCTTGCTATAGTACAAAACCAGGGCCCTTTTTTATGTCCTCCTCCTTCAGGATGTGGTAAAATTCAGCCCACTAGGAAGTTGCAAAAGCTTCTCTTCAGAGTGGGGAGTGGAAATGAGACTATCGGGCTCCTTGCTATACTGATAGCTGTCCTGTTCTTTGGACAGTGTGAGAAGAGAAGCCATGGGCTGAGAACCATTGTTACGACAACCTTGGAACTTTTAAAGTAAATTATAGTAATGCTTTGCAGCCATTTCATCTAGTTAAGGCTGCTGCTTCTTACTGTACTAGGAGAACCATGGTGTGTTGAATGAGGTGTGATTGTGTTACATGATCGCTTAGTCTAGCTGAAGTATACCACCGGAGGCTTGGCAGGGAGAGGGGAATTGGTGGTGTAACAGTGTGAGTGGATCGCGCTCATGGGGCAAGAGTTGAGGTGGAGGCATGGGCTGTCCTGCACTATGAGTGCTCGTTCCTTTTTATTGTTCTCTGTGTGGTGGCTACTGGGGGAGCACTGAAAACAGGAATGGTCCTGGTTCACATGTGTACTGCAGAGTGCCTGCACGGAGCCAAAATGTTGTGCTTTCTTGATCTGTGATTATCTCAAGTATCACCACCATTGAACTGAGGATTTTTGTGTGGCTGTCAGTCAAGTTACATTTTGAAATACATAATGAGGTCTAAATCCTGGGTAAAGCAGGAACTTGCTACATAGCAGAATTGTGAGATAGTGGTATCAATTAGGGAACTGGATAGATAGCGAAGATATCCTTGTATTGAGGAGAACAAGCCAGTAAGTGGACTTGTGTCAAGATCCCTTGGAAGTGCAGAGGTGGTCTTGTTATAAATGAATCTCCTGCAGGACAGTATGATCTGTGATGGAATGGATTCAGCCTCCTCTAAGGAGGACTGAGTAGCTTCATACAGACTGGGAAACTGGAACCAAGATAAACCAAAGCAAAGGGTATTTGAAGAAAGTTTAGGTCAAAAATAACTTTCAACTATTTAAAAAGAAGTGGTAGGCCATGATATTTGCAGTGAGTTTAAGTGTTCAGGGGTGGTTGATGCTTGAAGTCAAAGTACAAATTGGTAACTGCCCATTTGTTCTAATACACCAAAAACAGCTTAAGTTTTGCTCAAGTTCCTTTAGGAATGGGATTGTTTAATGCAAGACCTCTATAGCTGTCATACTGGTTTGTTACACTGTTTTCTACCAGCTTAGTAGATGCAGTTAAAAAGACACAAACCGTTGTGAGCCTATGAGAGTACTGGTTAATGAGCGTACAGTTCTGATGCTGCTTAGAGGTCTGTTTTGGCAGCGATACTACTTCAGTACCTTTATGGCAGAGATGTATTGTTACAAGCTGGGACATCGCTTTGTTTGCAGCAATACAGGGGATCTCTTGAAGAATCATAGACTCCCAGAACCAAGTTCCAGGACTTGTTTGTCTCTCAGAACTTAGAGACTTGCCTATCACATTGCATTAACTCCACAGAAGGTCGTCTTCCTATAAAGACACAAAAAAAAAAGTGATGATAACTTTAAAACTTCTCCTTTTTGGTAGTGAGAAAGCCTAGGCATCTTGTTCCTTCAGTCACCTCTCTGTCCCTTTTCTTCCCTTTTTTTATCTTGTCATGTTGTGAACTTGCTGGAAATGAATGAAATGCGAAGAGCTTTCTCCCAGGCTAAGAAGGAAAAAAAGCTTAATACGCAATTTGTGGTATTAGTCTAGTCCTTATGCAACATCACTGAGTTGTGGGGAGCAAAACGAGCAAAGAGGTGTTCTGCTCTGCAGGCGGGTCTCTTACTGCAACAGTTTAGGCACTTCAGTCTGAACGTGAGTAGTTGAGACCAAGTTTCCAGAAATGACTGAAAATGTTTAGCAGTGTGTAAGTTAAGAACGTAACAGTTGGATTATAATTAAGATTATGAGCACTTAATTTGCACTGCGTGTTTCAGAGTCTGGTAACCATAAATGTCAATTTGCTATCCTCGATGGTAGAACTTGAGCTTTGCATTTTCTGAGGAAAATCAAAGAAGTATTCATGTATCTTTGTAATCATTCAGAAAATTGAGCCAGAAGGTTTTCTTTTTGACCTGTTAAATTCTGTGATGCTTGCAGGAAGTAGTTGTATAGTGCTGAATGAATTGCAGGAAAATAGATGAAACTGTGAAGAAATTATGAATCAGATTTCTTAGAACTTTTTTTGAAATACTTGCAAGGAGTGCAAAATACTAATCTTTCAGTGAATGCGTTTTTCTCAACTGCTTTCTTAAGAGATGTTAGTGATGCAAATCAGGAGAGATTTAAAAAAAAAACAAGTTGGGTCTTTGGAAAGAGCAAGTAATCTTAATTTTTCTGTCCTTTAAATTGAAATAATATAATTCCCGTGTTCATCTTGGTTAATGTTGGGTGATTGTGATGCTCAAAAACTGTACTTAACACACTCCCTTTAACTATGAAAAACGGCGAAGAAAGTGTTAAATGAGGAACTGAGGTAGAGATCTTCAGGGCTAGGGTATAGAGGGAAGTTATTTTGGAGAAAGAAAGGCAGGGAATTTTCAAGTCATGTAGCTACTTTGGAGTAGCTGCCTCCGTGATCAACTATTTCAGAATAAGATTGCGTGTGGAGGAAGTTAATATAGCCTGCTTCCCTGCTAGACAAACATTGTACGATTTCCAAATGTCGTATAATCTCTGTTTCAGTCTGTTGACCACATGAGTTTCTGTTCAGGTTTCAGCCCATTGATCAAATTATTATGGTTTCTTTCCTCAAACATTCTCTGTTAGGAAAAAGTTCTGATGTGTGACTAAGCCATTAAGTAGATGAGGGGGAAAAAAGCAGACAAAAAGAAATTTTTTTTTTTTGTTTGTTTTTACACTCAAGGCAGAGTGTAATAAGAAGGCTTGGAGCAAATGATAATCTTGAGTCTTGTACCGGGATATTTGCGATCTCTTTCAGTACTGATAACACACTAATGTACTAGCTTTTGCTGAACACTGTTTGCACAGCATCAAAGCCTTCTCCATTTCTCCTTCTGCCCCCGCAGTGAATAGATTGGGGGTGTGCAATAGGGTGTGTGAGGGGACACAACCGGGCGGATGACCTGAACTAACCAAAGAGCTATTCCGTACCATATAACATCATGCTCAGCAATAAAAGGGAAAAGAGGGAGGTTTGGAGGGCCTAGCCATCTTTTGCTTGGGAACTGGCTGGGCATCGGTCTGCCCACGGAAGGTGGTGAGTGGTTGCTTTTGCATCACTTGTTTTGTTTTCTTCCCTGTTCTTCCACTCATCCTTCACTTACTAAACAATTACTATTTTTGTTTGTTTGTTTGTTTTATTTTGACCTCCAAGTTTTCTTGTTTTTATTCTTCCTTTCCCTCTTCCCCCATCCCACTGGGGGTGGGGGTCTGTGTGGTGCTTATCTGCCCACCGGGGTTAACCCACAACCCTAGTATTGTAGCAACTAGTCATTCATGTGTAGTATTGCTTGTGGTCCCACTGGGGTCGTTAAATGCATTTTACCATCCATAGCAAATAACGCTTTAAATTGATGATTTTTGATGGCTTATCAGCTCAGTGTTGCTGAACACCTTGGTCATAGGTCCATGTATTTTTTGACAGCAATGTGAGGTTAAACTTTCTGTTCTGCGGTTGGCTTCCCCCCCCGCCCCCTTCTTCTGATGACCTTGGTTATACCAGTGGATCTGTGTTTGGGGTCATGCTGTAACTAGATCTCTGGAATGGTCTAGGTTAAGAAAACAACTGGATCATATCAGACCAGCGTCAGAATTTCTCTCACACTATTTCCTGGCAGTTAAAATTTGAAGTGGAAAATTTAACCTTGCAGACTGGCAAAAGAAAACCCCAGCCCTGTGTTCTACAGGAGTCGAAGGCATAAAGCTGAAACCAGTGTTACAGCTGATACGGTTGCACAAGGAATAGTAGAAAACCGCACTATGTTGTAGTTAAACTAACTCTTACTGTTTTGATCCATCCCTCAGGCTGTGCTTAATCTTAATCTGAAGATTAACAACTCAAAGAAGTTGTTGAGAGTGAGCAAACTCTCAAAACTGGGAATACCTTTCCCAGAAGGGGTCTGTGATGCCATTGGAAGTAGTATTAGCTTTAGTGAGCAGAGAGCGAGAGGGATTGGAGTATCCTAAAATTAAAATGTCTGAATGATCTACTTTAAATCTTCAATAAACTCTGTAGAGTACTGATCAATTTAAGCATGGATTTTGTGTAATGGAAGACAATTTTGAATGTCTTAAAGACATATTACTAATTGGAACTGTGTGTATACTCAGTGCAAACAAATTATTTTCAAGTATATTTAATGACAGAAACTGTCTTTGCTCAAAGGACAGTTTAAATGCAAATCTGAATTGTGGAATTGTATTTCTTAATAACTTTCCTATGTGTAAATTCGTTCTTAAAGGTATAAAGATTGTTGTACAGCCAGACTCTCAAGCAGTGCTCCCTGGTCAAGTCGTCAAGCTGTGCTGCTGGGCAACAGGACACCCGTTCGTGCATTACCAGTGGTTCAAACAGGAAAAAGAGGTAATAGTTGATACAGAATATAGGTTTATTAAGTGGTGAAAATAATAGGTAATGATTTTGGATTATTTTTTTTTTTTTAAGACTGTTACTCTTATTTACAAGGAGAGAAGATTGCTATATATACTAATAAAAACAGAAGTTTAAGAAATGCTGCATAATGACCCTATCAATGTGCTAAAACAATAAGGTGGTTCCTTATATTCAGACCGCTCCAGCCTTGGAGGCTGATCTTGGGATGTGCCAGCAAGGAAACTGTAAGTTTAGTTGTCTCTCAGCCTACCAGGAAGTTTAACACGGGCTACTGACAAACTGCCGCACTGGAACAAATGCCAGTCACTGTTGGTCTTGTACAGATGGAAACTGCTTTCCTAAGAATGAACAGTTGAAGGCCTGAACTTGGTGGTGCCACAGACTTGTTCGATAAAATACTGGAATGCGTATGAGCTGGTGTCTCTGGAATTTGAATGGCAGCACTTATACCCATATCTCTGGTCCTGGTTATCTTTCTACAAGATGAATGCACTTTTTTTTTAATGTTATTTTATTGTAAGTACTATTTTTAAAAATGCAGTAAATTTATAGTATTTTAAATTCTGTTAGGACTGAAATTTTTAACTCATTTTCTACACCTTTCTAAAAGTTTATCTAGATCATCCAAAATATGGCTTAAAAAATATGATTACAGTCATTTCCGACTCATTACAGTTAAAATATAGTAAAAAATAATTTTTCTGTGAAAGAATGTTGCAGTTTCCCGGTCATAGATGAATATATCTTAAGACTAGAGCTGAATGTAACACACATGCTAGTTGGAGTGGTGCTTAAGAAATTATTCTGAGTTATTTGTGGCGAAGGGTAAACATTATTAATTTCAGGAAGCGCTTTTCAACTGCCTTAAAAGCTCAGAATTGTCTTAAAGAGAGGTATATGAATTATTCTTGGAAGAAAGCCTGTCTCTGAGCTACTAAATACATAGAACAAGACTCTCTCATCCAAAAGTTTCAAGTAAATTAAGGAGTTGAGGCTGGTAGTATGGACATTGAAATAAATGTTAGGTCCTGGCTTAGACTAAATCAATCTAAATGTAAATATTCCTTGTCTCACCTGTAATTCAGGTTCCCCATGGTAATTCTCCAGAGCTGGTTTTGAATCCAGTGAATGTAAATGATTCTGGCTTTTACATCTGTCGAGTGAACAGTGAATCTTCCTTTGTGTTCAGTCGGTGGGCACGACTTGAAGTTTGTGATCTCCAGGGTACATCTCATGGTGAGTGGCAAAAACATTGTCTTCTGAAAATCTGTCTTCCCACTTCTTAGAGGAACTTGGGCCCCTGTTGCTGTCTTGCACAGGTGTGAAAGAGGGCTGATTAAAAATGCAGTATGCAATTATTGGGCTCTTGTGCTGGTCACAAAAGCAGAAAAGAAATGGAGTTCCACAGTGGTGGATAAGAATAGGTAAATGGAGAACATACACAGTCTCAGATCCTTTCAATTCTTAGGGGATTCTTGGACCAGAAAGGCAATTCTTTAACTCTCGTGTTGTTTACCTCTTGTTGTAACTCGCTAGTGACCAGACACACACAGTCTATTCTTAATGACTGCTCCGTGGGCTCTGGCCTAATAGTCAGGACTGTTTCCTCTTCATCTATGTGCCACCAGTCTGAGAAGAAAGGTATTTGGGTAGAGGAGAATCTAACGAGGTTCTCTGCCTTTCTAGAAAGAAGTCCTACCTTACCTAGAAGGTCAGAACAATAAACTACAGAGGAGCACTTGCTTGCTGGAGGCCTGGCCACTTCAGAAAATCTAGGTACTGTGGAATGGAAAGAGGTCTGGAATAAGGTTTGGCAGGTAGCTGAAGTGATAGATTTCCCTTCCAGTCACTTTGTCAGATCATCTTAGGCTATCGCAATCTTAGAGGTGTACAAACCAGGAGAGACAAATTGGTCAAAGCCCAGCACATTCTTTCTTTCTCAGAACACCGGGGGAAAAGAGGGAGAGGCTGGGGCTCCATGGATATGTGTGTTGCAGAATATATGTTTGCTAATGCAGTATTTTCAACTTCATATAACCAACCCAGGTAACAGTGAAGACATGCCAACAATTCACTGAAATAAACCTATGAGAGGAAGAAACGCATGAGTTAAACTGAGACTTTCTGGTGTGAATTCCATCTTCGTAGGTTTTATAAATGGTCAGCTAACAGCCAAATGTGTGTTACCTGCATAAGAAAAGCCACACTGGTTGAACTGTACCAGTGTAAGTCCGTATGAATTTATGGCACTGGCTTGAAGATACCTCTGCTTCATTGATGGGTTAATCTCTATCTGCAGCATATGTGATGAAAGTATGGAAGTGGAAGAAGTGTGAGGAGAACGGAATAATAGCAGAAAGCAAATAAGATTAGCTGTCTGCTCAACAGTATCCAGCTGGTACTGGAATTTGTTAGTAGAACGTAAAGAATCTTGGAAATTTACTTCTTGGAGCTAGTATATTAATACTGTGCATTTATTTCCAGTTTCTGACACTGCTGGAGTGGCGTCTTTTTGTTTTCTGGTGTGTGTAGGTTTTTTTCTTTGGTTGCTTGTTTTGGGGTTTTGGGTTTTTTTTACAGAATAGTCAGTTGCATTACATAGGCATTGACTCATGCACTGAGTCCGCCCTTTATAAACTTTCTAATTAAATACCTTCGACTTGCTTGCTATTGGCCTAAAGATGAGTGAGATAGAAATCAATTGCACTGTCTGCAGACTGTGAAGAGTACTTGTTTTGTCTTACGTCACGAGTCAAAGGTGTTTTCCGCTTGTATCCCACATATAAAAATTATTCATGTCAGGAAAAGAGAGAGAGAATCGATCTTCCAGTAAAAGATCAAAAGCTACTGCAATGTCATTTGAGGTGACCTTTTTACATCTTAATCTTGAACGTATTCTCGGTCCCTTATCTAAGCGATGATTTCTTCTACTTTTCTTTTGCTCCTGTTTCAGGTTCTATTCAGTTAGAAACCTGCAGTTTTAGATCTTGCTGATTACATCAGGCAGCTGAGATTAATAAGCTTGTAATGACTACTTAGAAAAAAAAAAATCTGAGAAAAACAGCAGTATTTTGTTTCACACTTGCGGCAAAAGTTTTGGTGACTAAAGGGCAGCAGGTATCCACAGACTAGTGCCTTGCTTTATGTTCCGTGGCTCTTGGCCAACCAGGAGCCATAGTGGAAGTGAATTTTAGCATGTTTAGGTCTTGGTGATGGGTAAAAGGATAAGGGGCAGGATGGATTGCTTCTTCCTGTAACTTTCCCTCTTAGGGTGCTTACAAAGAAACCTAAAAGGGGTATGTAGTGGTTGCACTGAATGAGTGCTCTCTATCTCCTGTAACGTGTGGCCTGGGGTTACTGGTGTTTCAGTTGAACTAGATGACACTGACAGTACCATTTCAGCAAATGTTGACGAGGTATGAAATCTTCTATTTCAGCTGCTGACTGTCTTTTTTTTTTTTTTTTCTTTTCCTGCTCCCTTGGTTGCTTTCTTTTTTCCAGATTTTTTTTTTCTCCTCTTTTCTCATTGCTTTCTGTTTGAGAGCTTGACCGTTCTCCATTCTGTAAAAGCTGTCTTTCATAGCTGGCTTGTGAGCTTGTGATCAGTGAGGCAGCCAGACACCATTCCGAAAGATACTGCTACAGGCTTGTCAGTGTATTTTGAGAGTGCTACAACACCAGGCTGTACCAAGGACAGCCTGTAAATGAGATGGCAGGTAAGGCGTCACACTGGAGACAGAAACCATGTTATCTTTCAACCTCATATTCTCTTTCACTATCTGTAACTTTGGTGTTCCTTGTCTTAAGACTAACGCTGTTTAATTTGACTATAACAGTAGTTCCTTTCCATCTTGTCTTACTTCTGTCTTTCTGCCCTAAAGGGAAATTATTTCTTTACATTTTGTTGAAAGATCCTGCTATCAAACTGGGATATTCGGAGGGAAGGAGGGAGAGAGAGAAGGTTCTGTAAAAAGCTGAGTGAAAGGGAGTAAAGTTTATTTTGGCATTTAAAAATCTTTTCTATGATAAAAGTTACAGAAAACAAAGCTCTTTGTAAGAAAAAAAACGAAAACTAAAACCATTATAGAAGTTGATAGAGAACATGGTAAGCCAGGGTCTCTGAAATGCCGTACAGTAGTGGTCATAGAACAGAATATTTGCTCAGGCATCTGTCAGTCTTTTTACCAGTATCAAGTCTGCATTAAGAAATAGAGCTTTCTTGTAAAAACGCTAGTCAACATTGATCATAAATATGAAACATCTGTTTGTAAAATCTTTGCAATACAAGTTTATAATGCACCAAGAAGCTCAGATGCTACTAGAAGAGATACCCACATCACTGTTTCCCTTTATTTTACTATGTAAAGGAAAATGTCACCACCCCATGAATAGTTCTGATGACAAAACGTGTCTGCATATGTAGTCTAAAAGTAAAGATGAGTGACCTTGCAGCTGAGAGAAAAGATCACTGGTGTGACCTTTAAAAGTAGGTCTGGGCTTGCTGTAGTGTGTGTCACTTGATTGAACTGTTCGGTACGGAGACATCGGAAACCTTGTCAGTGGAGCACTCGTGTGTGTGTGTGTGTGTGTGTGTAGCAGATGTTAAGAGAATTAATTTCAACACATTGTTTCAATAAATTTTATCATATCTAGAAACTTACATTACATCAACTGGACAAGTCTTTAATGCATTTAGGGTTTTCTGAATAGGTTTCTTTCCCAAAGGCATTTCTGTATGAGGACGGTCAGTGGCTGATGTTTGTTAAGCGTTTTTAGCTTTGGGCTTTTTTGGTGTATTTGCCATAAGGTTTGATATTCAGTTTAGAATGAGAAGAATAGGGATATGCTAAAACTAACTGATTTTAAGTTTTAAATTCTTATTCCTGTGTTCACACTCGCAGACAAGTCGGATCTTCAGTCCATCCTTCAGTAGCCACTCTTCTTTGTACTTGCACCTTTCTCTGGAGCCTTTGTAATCCTACAGGCAGGAATAAATAATGCAAAGAGGGCTTTGCTCTTTTTTTACTTCTGGGGTATATTTAATGTGCATTCCTTTTTACTTTTCAACTGAAGAACTGGAAAGCCATTGCTACTCATTTTTAGCATACTCTTCAAGGACAAGTAACTCAATTTCATTGCTATTAAAACAGCCTGTTGTAGTTACAGGAAGATGTGGCCATATGTTGTCAATTCTTGTTAGTCTATATAGGGTTAGATTGTCTCACCCTTTCTTTTCTTTTTTTCTTCCTTTTTTTTTTTAAGGGAGCTTAATTGGTTTGCCTGAAAACAAACTGCGCATTTGTATTCAGCCTCAGTCACAAAACCTGACAGTGGGGGATGCTTTGGTACTAGAATGTGGAGCTGTTGGAAACCCAATTCCTCATTACCAGTGGTTCAGAAATGGATTTCCCTTGGCAAATGGGAGCAAAAATGTCTACATGGTAAGTTACTGCAAAGTGCCAGCCTTGGAGGACTAATGTGTAACCACCTTTAACTTGTCACATAAAGCTTCCTTGAAGAAAATAACTTCTTCGTAGCCTGGCTCTTATGGAAGCGCTCGCTGTAGGTTGTTCTTCTGTTCTGTTACTTCCCCATACCGTTCTGAGGCTCTCAGGTGCGTAATTTTAATCCTGAATATGTTTCAGGCAGTAGTCATGGGATAGTGTATTTTGGATTAGTGTGACATACTGACATAATAAAGATTAAGTATCAGTAAAAGTGAAAGTTTGTCTTTCTAACTTGCACTGCAAAGCACTCTGATTTGTATGAGCTGTTGCATTCAGTACTTAATGCATCTCAAGCCTGTGAGGTGGATTTGCATTCGTTCTTCAATCCTTGAAAGCATTTTTAGAACACACATGCTGTCTAGCGTACTGAAGAATGAGGGTATCGGCAGCTTTGGGATTTGTTTAGGCTTTGCTTTTAGTTTTTACTCTTTCTTGCATGTGGGCTTAAATGAAACTGATACAGGTATTCTTTTGGGGTCTGGTGGGATGACTGTGATGATGCTTGCGTAGGTAACTTACGTGGACGTGGAACATCAAGGGACATACTGGTGTCACGTATTCAATGACCGGGAAGACCAAGATAGCAAGAAGATAGAAGTTGTTATAGGTAAGGAGTTTTTCTGTTTGATAGAGGTCAGCTGATGTATCAATTTCTTCCCTATCATTAGAATTTATTTTTGAAGCTTTCAGTATTAAGCCAAGCACATGCCTTCTGTATTTTTCATTTATCCATTTGTTAAAATAGCTGTGCTTGCTTGCAGCAAATGGAATTTTAAAGCTTTATCAGTTATAAAGGGCTTTGGGTTTTTATGGTAACCAGCATAGAAATGCTACCAGTTTTTGGCATTGGTAGCACATACGTGGCTTGTCAGCAGAGCAGATCGCAAGCTGATTTCTTCATGTTTTTTGACAACTAAAAATCAATTTAACCCTTGTTGGTGATACGAACTGTGTTACACTGAGTCCTTCAGGAATCAGGACAGCTGAGATTATTCATAGCAAGCAGAATAAATAAATATAACACAGTTTAGTGCGTGTTCGCGTGTATTTGCCGTAAACTAAAGAGGAGAAGATCTATTTGTATAGCTTCCAGATCTATCTGGGAATACTATTGCATAATTCATATGAAAAGTTCTTTCCTATCCTAAGAAATATTCTAGTTTAGTACTCCTGAGTTTCAGTAGTAATTACTATACAGTGTTGTGGTCAGTGCTGATTTATACTGCTATAAAATGAGCCAGATTGCAGAGAAGCTTGGAAGCGACCTTTGTCTTCCACTTTGTGTGCTAACTCTCATAACTGAGAGCAATTGTCTTCCAATTTTTTTCCCCCCACTTAAAACACAAGGAAGGAAAGCTATGGCAGTGGAGTGCACAGAAGGTAAAGTAAATCTTTAGTTGTGAATCAATTTTTAAAAATTAATGACGGGGATGACGGATTGTTGAGTGTGTTGCTGAAAAGCACGTGTGGGTTAAGGACTTCGGTCTACTTTAAAACGCTGATGTGTAATGCAGTGTTCCTTTTGCATGTGCTTCTCTCTTCTTTGCCTTGATATCATGACCTAAAGCACACAGGAAAGAAAACAAACTACTTTCTTCTTCTGTAGTATCCAAAGTTCTTTGATTTTTGCGCTGTTTTTGTGTCCTGTGCTTACAGTTTCTAGTGAAATGTAAAGATTTGAGATTTCTTTGGCTGGGCTCAGGAGGCAACATCCTTGCAAGAAAAGCTGAAGACGTTTAGGAACCTGGGTGACCTTAGAGAGCTGGATAGAGCTAGTTCCACTGTCAGCTCTGTGTCTGCAAGAGGCGTTTCCAGCAACCTTATTAGGATGATTTCTGTTCTCCTTTGCGTTGCTGCAATGGGGAGGAAGAAGTGTGCTGTGACCTTTAATGTTGATACCATCCCTTGATTACTGAGCAATCTCAGTCTGTAATATTTACGTCGTAGGGGATCATATATAAAGATGTAAGGCTGCTTACAGCAGCCCCCCCCAGCTTTCCTAACAACCATGAAAAAAACAAACACATTTGCGAAGTACAATAAATGGCTCTCCACCCTGTTTTTTTACAGAATCATAGAATTTTCTCGGAATTAAACTGCTCTGCGGCATTTCTTGTTCAAAGTTTAATCAGAGCTGATGTTCCCCTTTAGCCCTTTTGTTAGAGGTTTAACGTTGGGATTGTGTACTGTCACTCACTGGAACATACAAGTGACACGCATTTTGGCGTCCGCCACTTCCACGGCATAGCTTCTGAGACCGATCATGTCTCTGAGCCTTCACATCTTTTCTGGCTTGGAGGTGTCTGCGTTACCTGACGGACTGCTGTGCAGAAGCTTCCGAGTTACCTGTACTTTAACTACCCTTTGAAGCAGAAGATAACCACTGCGTTATCTGTGGGGGTCTACACCCAAACCACAGTTTGCTTGGACGCAACATCATTCTGCTACTAAGCTACATTAACACGTACAGTAGTATCACCTCAGGTCACTACAGTCTCCCACGTGGATATACGAGCCTGCGTTTGTGGCTTAAGAGGTCTGCCTAGAGCTCCTCTGCAGGGAGCAGGCCTGCTCTAAGAGACCTCTGGTGCTTCAGATAAATTACTTTTCCATAGTTTCCAGAGCTCTCAGAATAATTAGGTGAAACCTGTGGTAGCTTAGAATGTTTGAAAACGTATCTGAAGTCTTTCTGAATACACGTGGCTTTACAAAGTAAGATTTCTTGCTCAGGATGTTGCTTTTTCAGCAGTCCTTCAAACATAATTTTTTCCAATGGGTGACTTGGAAATTTTTCTCCTTATTCATTCCAGCTGCTTGCATGCCTGTGGGATTGAGGCATAATATGTGTTTCTCCCTTTGTATTGAGATCTACTATATTATAATGCTGTGTCAAGCACAGCTTAGTATACTGATGTGGGATTTTCTCTTCTCTGCATGTGGAATAAACATGAAAGGTTAGATTTACAGAAATGCCTTTTAGAAAAGTAGCTTGTTTTCTAACATTCAGCTTCTATTAATAATGGCATGACACTTAATTATATTAATGAAAAATGTATTTTTTGCTTCTTTTGTAAACTATAATTTTATTGGTGTATTTCTTCACAGAAGATCTAAGTGATCTTCAAAAACCAGGTAAGTGATAAGTTTTGAAAAACTTTAATTTTGCATTTTCGTTTTGTGTTACAAATCACTTAATCCTAGCTGGGTTAGAGTATATCGTTTACATTATTTGGATGTATTTATAACTGGGGATTTAATAGCGACAGGTATCATGTTAAGAGCAGCACAGCTTTCTGGTTCCAATAAATTAACTCGAAGAATATAGTGAATCATAGGGTTGCTATTATCTTTGTAAAATCACACAAAGCTGCTCTTTTATACTGCATGTATACTAATACAAATACAGAAGGAATTATCTTTTGCTTTCTTGTCTGTGGCTTCTTTGGATTCTAAGTTTTAGTATGTTGCTGCTTTTTCAGATGATTGAGGTGAAGATGATGTAGGGTGTCTGGCTGTCACTCGTGATGTGTTGAATTGGTGTATTTCTTAAATTCATGTTGGAGTGAGCTAATGTGATTTGAAGCCTGTTTGATGTTTATTATAGAAACATAGATCTGGAATAGTACTCCATAAGGGATTGTCCCTGATACAGTGTTCCCAAAATCTCAAATCACAAAGGTCATATAATTTCCTGGGTTAAACATCATAGATCTGTTTACTTTTGACAAGACTTAGTTTTAGTCACTGAAGTGGTACTGTCATGATACGTAACATGTTATCCAAAGCGTACCACTTTGGCATATCGCTTACCTGTTCCTCTTGGCAGAGCATTGGCTGAACCATCCCTCTGTGAAGTACAAAATAAACAAATTTTCACATACAGACGGTCATCTCTGCTAAGCATACACCATCTTGCATGGCTGCATTTCATTTGGAGAGGATGAACTGTTTCGGGTGTTACTGAAAATGCTGATGTGCGGTTTGTGAGATTCAAAATGACACTGTAAGCATCTATTATTTCTTAATTTATATAACTAGCTATTCATATCCTGTTAGGCTATGTTTGCTGGAAGAGGGCGAAGGAAGTCAGGTAACCAACACCACAACACCCCAAAGTCCCACCAAAACAAAAAAAAAAAAGAGTGCTTTTTTTTTTTCTTAACCTAGTAACTTATTAGGCAAAGCAGTACCAATAGACTATGGCTGTATGGAACATGCGGTTCATTTTCTGACATTGGCAGCTATGACTGCAGTTACTGATGATCTGCTCTCTTAATCTATTTCAAGCAGACCTACAAGAACAACCAAATCACAGACCTGTTGGTAAGTAGTGTTGTAGCTGTAATGAATGTATGTATTTCATATCTAGGAAATAGATTTTGCTTTTTCTGAATGTTGCTGCTTCTGCCACTGCTAGTGAAGTAACTGTAGGGCGTGTAAATAGCTGCAGGGAGGGAGACTTCTGTGTATTTTTATAGTCCTTTATAATGCTTGCATGCCCTTTCAGTAGTAAACTGTGGTGAGGGCACCAGTATTTTTAGTGACTTGGTGGAGTGTCTACAACTTCTCATCTGTTTCAGTTTACTGTTTCAAATTCCTCTGGCCACGACCTTAGCCAGTGTGTTACTCCATTACTTGGAATACTTCAACAGTTGGAGGTAGTGGTATTAGGATGATGTGATAAAAAGGATTGGCAGTCTGTCTGTATGCCGTCCCTGCGAGCTCAGCTATTCCTATGCACAGCGTGTGGATACTTTGATCCTGAGCTGAGGCTCATAAAGATAGATGGATAGCATATGTGTGTTATGAGGAATAGTTGCTGGGGCTTTTTAATCGCGTTCCTAAATTTGCATGGTAGACTTGACTGTGGTCAGGAATGTTGTCTTGATGCTAAACCAGGTGGAAAGGCTGCTGGCCTCGGTCAAAATTTTACCACTCAGGTTCATCAGTGTGAGAGGGAGCGTAAGTGCTCCCCAGTCCTGGTTCATCTTTTCTAAATTAATTAGAAAGCTTGTACTTTTAAAAGTGTTTTTCAGTGACGGTATGCCACTGTCACTCAGTCTCTGCTGTTTAAAATAGCTTGCACTGTTCAAGACCTTGGAGGTTTTCCAGCTGCAAAAATGTTGAAAACATCTTGTTTGAAGGAGATGAAATGTTAGACATTGAGGCTATGGGCAGAGATCCTCTTCTGGCTCCAGCTGTGCGGGGGTGCTGGCTCTGAAGCAGGTTTGGGGCATTCACATGATCTCATTTGCCACCAGATTCCTATTGGAGAGAAGTAACAAACCTGGGAGGAAACGCCTTGCTTTGAATAAGTGCTGTTCTGTAACTTAGTGTGCAATTTTGGGGTAAAAATCAGGCTAGTGATCTCAAAAGCATTTCTGTCAAGGTGACTTTTTTCCCCTTTCATTGCTGCTTTGTTTACTTATGACAGAATTACTTCTATTAAAATCAAAGTGAATGTATCTCAAACTATGAGAATATCAGTAGACTTCCCTCCAAATTTTGTAAATTTCTCCTATCTCTGTATAACTGTTTTTAACCAGAGCAACAGTAAAAAGAAACATTAACAACCAGAAAAAAGACGTTTTACTTCTGACCTGTGAAAGTTTCCACCTAAATGTACCATGTTTTAGAGAGAGAGGACATGGGAGATGGAGACCTGAAAGTGGTCTTTTGTGTGGTTTTTGTTTGTTTTTTAAGAAGCATAAGAAAATTTGAGGGTTTGGGGAAAGCATACTGGCCATAGCTTTGGCAATATGCCATAAGAATTTTCATGTTTATTAAATTTCTTCTTGCATGGGGGAATTCGGTAATAATCTGTGCTTTCAGAAAAGTGAAGGAAATGGGAGATAGCCTTAGTGACTCACTTCGCGACAGATTATCCAGTCTGAGATGCATCACAGTTCAGATATGTTGACTGTCAGACCATGCTGAAATGTTTTTTTGTTTGTTTTTTGGATGAGAAAAAATATTGTGCCTGAAGTGAGATTGGATACTATTTTCACTTGAGAAGAAATTAAATTTAAAGGTATTGAACCCATGGAATATATAAACGTGCTGTGTTTTTTTTTTCCTTTGTCTTTGCAGCAACAGACAAGGTAGCTCTGTTAATAGGAAATATGAGCTACTGGAATCACCCCCAACTCAAGGCTCCGATGGTAGATGTCTATGAATTGACCAATTTGCTAAGACAGCTGGATTTCAAAGTTGTTTCTTTGCTGGATCTTACTGAGTCTGAGATGCGAAATGCAGTGGATGAATTTTTACTTCTCCTGGACAGAGGAGTGTATGGTAAGAACATGTGATGCCCCTTCTGAAGTAGGTCAATTTTGTGACGTATCAAGTACGCAAACATCTGGTATTTACCTCTGCCAGCTCACTATACGTGACAGCAAAACAAACTTCATGGTAAATAGCGTGCGCATAGAATGGGAAAAGTAAGTTTAAAACACCCACCAGCATATCCTTTGACTTTGGTTGAAATGTTATTGTTTCTTTATTCTTAGAACAGATAAAATGTTTGAACTTTTTTCTTTAGCCACACCTAAAACTGCAATGCGCTTTTTTGTTTGATAGTACCGGTGTGTTTGTCTGCTAAAAGCTGCTGCATCTGTATAGCATATTTGACAACATGCTCTGCAGAAGGTGCACATCTGTACGAAGAAGTCCTTAGTACTAGTTTGTCGTAGTCTTTTAGGCAAGAGCAAGAGTAGTCAGTTGTGTCGCCTGCGGTGGTGTATCATGGAAACGAGCTAGTAGCAGAGTAGTGGAAAACTGTGTAACTGCAGTATACAAGACTACATGTAGTCTTGGGCAGCAGTCCTTGCTGCTTTTAGGAGACCTCTTAAACACCTTTTTTGTGAACTTCTATTCTGTTGCCCTCCTCCCTTCCCCATGCCTGCAAGTTAACGATTTGCTTAGGGCTGGCCAGTCCCTTGGCGTACTGGGACTGCCGGGTTGCGTTTCCGCTGGGGGCGCGGGGAACAGCCCGAAGCACAGCATGGCTCCCGTGCTGGGCTTGCTGGCGGGACCCCTCCGTTCACCCCGTCTTTCTGCTGCGCGTCTGCAGAACGCTGCTTCCGTCTGGATGTCCGTCCCGGGCTCGTGGGAGGGGCTGCCCTGCTCGAGGGGGTGCGCTTCTCTGCCTTGGCAGGTACCAGCTGTGTTGGGGGGCCGGAGAGTGGGACGCGGGCAAAGCATCTCTCTCATGAAGATGTTACAAAGTAAAATGTGCAGCGCAGAAATAAGATAAAAACATTGTGCTTCGGAGTTAGGGCATAACACTCCGCAAATTGGATGCAATCTTTTTTGCCCTCTTCTTTTTTGCCAAGTTTTCAGGTTCAGTAGAAATCCTTGTTTTGAATTGCTGGTTCCTTTCAGTTATTGTGATACTGGGCTGGCAAGCACGGAGCTTTTCATAATGTCCTTGACAGGGAGTGAGAGAGACTTGTGCAAACCCGGATTTCTACTTCAAAAAGCAAATTGAAACGAAGTTTGTTTATGTAAAATGAAAATTTAGTTCTCCTATGTCTATGCACTTCAAAGAAGTAAAACAAAACAGAGAAGAATTCACATTATCCTTTGCTGTATATACCTTGCATAAGGAAAGGCATTAACTGAGAAACTGGTGAGCTATGGACTTCAGGTTCTGACTTTCTGTAGTTGTCAATAATAAAGGACTTTTCACTGAGTTGAATACTAAGATTCCTGTTTGGGCAGAACTCAGGGACAACTGTTGTTTCACAGCTCTGTGGAACGTCTGAATATAGAGTATAAAATGTACTCTTTCTGTGTATCTTTGCACATTAGATGGAAAGCTTAATAGCGGTTATGCTGCTTAAGCAGGAAGCAGCCCTCATTTTTTTTTCCTCCTTTTTCTTAATCTCTTGAGACTTAAAAATAACACCCCACAAAAATCCAAGGCTTTCACGTCTAAATTGCAGCATCACTCTAACGGTTCTACTGCAGCATCTCATCAGTATTGGTTTAAGTTATGGGAGGACAAATTAAGCAAAATATGCATACTGAAAGATGTGCGTTTAACACATTTCTCTTTTTTTTTTTTTCCTCTAAGTTTTTGTTATTTGAGTCACACATCCATTTATAAGATACCTGTAATAGAATATTAATAATAGTTTTAAGCTCTCCTCCACGTACTGCACAGGAGGTGCCTTCTGCTGGGATAACGACTAACCAGTCGGGTCTGGTATGCATTGCTACTACTGATATGCATTGATTCTTAGATGATTACTCATATATTGGGATTCCTTGTCTTGCATAAACTTGATTTTGGGGGAGAAAGCACAAGACAGAACTGGTGGCTGTGCTAGCTGGGGGAGAGCACGGTGGAATTGATGCATAGAGCAAAAATCTTTATGTCTTGCATGGAAAAGGCCTAGAATGACCCGGCTTGGAGCGTAAGAAAAGTTCTTCTCTGGGCATTGAGGAGTTTGCTGCTGACTGCCACTATTTTTGTCAGTTTTCTAAAAGCTAAGATTGCATAAATGACTCCAGAAATGATTCGGAGACCAAAAAGTTCTGCCAGTTGTCCTATTTAAATTGCAGGACTCCTATAGTAACACCTACCCAAGAACACATTATTTGATTTGGATTTTTTTTTTTGGAACACAAGGTCAGATTATTTCTTAGTATGACTTTTTTAATAGTGTGTTACCTGATGCTCTGTCTGTGCAGAACTGGCTGATCTGACATTTGGGCATTTATGTCAGAGCCAAAACTTGCGTGACATGAAGACTAATTATGGCAGTAAAGTTTAGCAGACTTTCTGATCGCAGTTTTCTTTTTTTGTTCCCTGGGAAATAGATGTGCGTATACATTTGAGTGAGCTTCTAGATTCTTGCACCTTCTCAATTTTTTTCTATAATTTTTGACATGGATTTAGAAAATAAAGTACTGAAAGGCTTTAATGAGTTTCTCACCAGCACCATATGAAAGCTCTTATAAGGCGTAGTTTTTCAGTTGTATTTTTCCAGCAAGTTGATATTTCTGAAAGGTAAGCAGAGCATTCTTTCAGTAGTGTTTGGCAAAAACTACTTCGATTTAAATGGTCACTTTGTTCTTTCTGGATAGTGGCTATTAATGGCTTCAAGCATATAGAAGATGCTGTCAGTGCACAAATAGGTGATGATTTATTGCATTTTTAGTGGGCATAGCTCCAAATAGAAGAGGCATAGTGGCTACTTCTGTTCAGTCCTTGTTACACATATTCATGATGCCTAATATGACATTGTGTAGTTCTTGCTTACTGCCAGGAAAGTGGCGTTTCAGATACTGTTCCTTAAAAGCAGGAGTAGTAAACAAAGTGATGATGATTGTCTCTTCTAATGTCCTAGTTTATGTTGTTCTAAATGTAGGGTGCAATTAATATTGTATTCCACAAGGGGTAAAAGTGTAGACCCATATGTTTTAAAGGCTAAAAATAGTTAGGCTGCTTTCTTTTTGAAAAAGAGAGCGAGAGAGAGGCAGCAAGAGAGAGAAGCAGCAGCTATCACTTAGATGCTTACGTCTATGGGGAACTTGAGCCTACTTAAAATTGTTGTGTCAAAGCGTCTAATGAGGCCTTCCAAACATGTTTACTCTACTTACTCTGGGTATGCAGAGATTTATTTATGATCTTGAGCTCAACATATTAACTGTTGCAGGTACTCAACAAATAAGCATAGCACAGTCATCTGCCAAGGATATAGGAGTGTAGTTGTTATTTCTGAAATATTTCTATTTGTTGAGGAAATACTCTAATAAATCGTGCTTTAAATTAGAGGGAGTTATTTCCTTCAGTCAGTCCAATTACTTATCTAACATACACTCAGATACATGTATAACCTCAAATATAACCTTGACTTAGGTCCAGATCCAAACTCTGTGGAAATCAAATTTGAGAGTTTCCTTTTAACTTAGGACCTGACGTGGAGTCGTGCACGTGGCACTTAACTTCATTTTTAACTCTTGAAGCTATCCTGTCTTAGGTAACCATTGGGATCTTATAAATAGCCTAATAGTACCTTTATTTGTTTAGGTTTTTATTCATATGCTTTAAATTCTGTGGCCTTTAGAAATCTAACTTTTAATTGAATAAAGCCATTTTCCAAGACTGGCAAATGAATAACCATTAGGCTCTTTGTTTAAAGTGAAGCCTTGCATCCCGGAGTTCACCTCGTATGCACTTGCTGGCTGCTTCTCTTGACTATGCATGTTTCCCATAAAAAGAAATTGAGCGCTGTTGATTGAATGGAGCAGTTTGCAAGGTCTTGGCATAGTTGTTAGTGACTCGAGAGCTTACAAGTAAAAGAGAACCAAAGGCTTAGTTTGAAGGGCTATAGTTACATCTGGGTATTCCTTTACAAAAAGTGCAGGGCTGTGTGAGAGTAGTTTCATTTGTTGTGGCTATCTGTAATGAAAAGGTAAAAACACCTGGCATACGTACCTACACAAGCTGATTTAAACGTAGACCATTTTAGTAAGTTAGGGTAAGGCTTATTTTGTTTTTTCTGAATATTCAAGTTTTGTAGTGACATAAATTTCACGGCTGTTTTTTGTAAGAATACTGACCATATCTCCAGTTAGCATAAATTGTCATCTCTCTGACTTCTATTCAGCTGCAGCACTATATACTAATTGAAGATCTGACCCATAGCCTGCTTTGTATAGATAAATAAAAAATCTTTTGAGAAGATGGAACTTGCCATAGATAAGCAAAAACAGCACTGGGAACAGACAATTGGAAAATTCCATTTAATCATACAAGCTTCTGGTAACTGCATTTTATGGCAGTGGAGGTTATTAATGCTAAGATCATCTAATCTTACTGCAAATTGATATGACTTTAATATTTGACATTTTTATTCATATAAGTAAAATCTAAGCCCTAGGTTGCAGTTCTCTTTTTCAGGGTTAAGAAAAGCTTTTTTTAATTCCATGATATGTTTTCTTTATATAAAACTATTGCATGTTTTCTTGAAGATTTTAAATCTTAAAATATTGTAGGCTGCTGTGTATTGACACAAGCGAGATGATTGTAGGATAATCTTTTATTTGTTTGCTTAGTAGACCCACAAGAGTCATGAGTCTCTAACTGTAAAGAGATGTAGATGCAATCAACTAAAAATGAGTTGTTGGTAGTTGTTGGTAGTTTGGTAATGGGAATGTGCTCTGGAGTCCTACCAAACACGATCACGGGATAATCCTTTCCCCCACGAAATCCCGTGATAACCCTTCCCCCCCCCCCCCCCCAATGTAAAAATGTTTCTTATCCCTCCCTATAAAAAAGACAAAACTGACTGTACAGAGGAAACAGCAAAACTAAAAACTTGCAAAATGCTCTCATAGTTGAAGCAAGGTTTTTCTCTGATTTTTCCTAGTTAAAGTACTTTTAAGAATTGCCAATGATTAATGGTAAGTAAAAAAGAAAATTAAAGGAGAATAATTTTAAAGATGACAGCATTGTCTCATTTAAAAAAAGAGAAAAAAATCCATCCAAACTGTTTGGTGTTATTTTTTTCTATCTATAAAATCTGCAGTGACTCACTGCTACTCAAAGCTTTGTAATTGCACGTGTGGAGATGATGTTTCACAGTTGGCACGTTTTCTTGTTCATATCTGTGAGTTATGTATCATATATAACAGATTATTTCTGTTAGAGGTCATTACTTAAAGCATTTTAAGAGTATTTAACTTTGTGTGTTGGATGCAAATATCTGATTGATTCTATTGCATGAGTGATTTTTTTTTTTTTTAATTCGTTGTGTCTGTGTATTGTGACGTTGATGTTAACGTGGTTCCTCCCCTTCCTGCATCAACAAAGGCATATCGATATTAAAAAAAAACTGCTTGGAGTAGCTTGAACGATCTTAATCTCCACAGGCACGTAGTGTGGACATAGTGCATGAAGTTTTTGACCGTGCTAAAATTTATAGAAATGTTGCAAGGTACTCTTGAACTGTGTTTTCAGTCACATATATTTTGAACTCTCAGGTTTGTTATACTATGCTGGCCATGGCTACGAAAACTATGGAAACAGTTTCATGGTTCCTATTGATGCTCCAAATCCCTACCGATCTGCAAACTGTCTGTGTGTGCAGAACATCCTCAAACTAATGCAGGAAAAAGAGACGGGACTTAATGTATTCCTACTGGATATGTGTCGGAAAAGGTATAATCTCATAATTCATAAATAGTGAGAACTGACATTAGATGTTTGAGGGATGTTTTTGCTTCACGACAGAGGGAGAGGGTATTGATGACTGTACTTTTGGGAACCAGCTGTGAAGTTCAGCTTATTCACTGCAGCAACAGATTAAAACTGAGCCTATTTTGAAAATGAACAAATAAAACTGAACAGCCACTTTGAGAGAATAGCAAGGGATCTTGAGAGAAAGCTGGACTTCACGCTGAGGAGAAATCTTTAGTCTGGGCTGAGAATTGACTGTACTTGAAAGCTGATGGTTCTGAGAATTCACAGCCTGCATCTGGGTGCTTTCAAAGTCAATAGGATTCATTCACAGACTTATTTCGCCTTTGGCCTTGGTTGGAAATGTGAAGCTGGTGATTAGACTTTGTTTCTGTGGGCAGATAGTTGACTCTTGATTTGAATGACATTTATTTCTTCTTTTTTTGTTGTTGTTTAGAAGTTATAAAGTGTCAGTCTTATTAGATAAAAGTGAAATTAGGTATCTTAAAGAAGAAAAATGACCCTTTCTGCTTGCATCATTCACCATCTTCATCATTACAGGGAGGAAGGAGAATTCTTACGATCAAAGGCATGTTAATTTGACAGAAGGGCTCAAGTGAAGTGCTTATTTTGGAACTCTTCAGAGGCGTGGATTTTGTGGACTGCTTTTATGCTGGGGATGTTGTATCTTTATTTAGAGCTTAAAAATCAACTGGTTTATTGGATTTTTCTAAACAAAGTACTATTTTCTTTCCATGTTAAGGGACTACTATACCCGATTAAACTTGCACTTGAAATCAGCTCTTCAGTCAGCACTTCTGAAAACTGGTCTCTAAGGAGTGTTTCATAATAGAAAATAGCTAGTGCTTTAGTGTTTGTAGAGCCTGGAAACTTCACTGCTAATGAAATGCCAGTGACCCAATTCAGCTCCACAGTCTGCTGTCCAAATAGAACATACTGCTACATAAACCTCATGTTAACTATGCAGACACCATGTTTTGGGAGAAAAGAAAAAAAAAATCATATAGTTTTTGTTATAACTTAAAATGGCTAGTTATCAGAAATCATTTTTTAAGAGATTGTAGCCAAAGTCTACATTGGTTAATATAGCACGCCCACATCTGGGTAACGCCTGATACCTGACTGTGTCTTTACATTGTCTTCATGAAGAGTGCTGACGATGCTGATTTTTGTCTTTTAGCAGTCAGAATTCATTCCAGAATTGTAGGAGAGAAAAAAATTACTGTTTCTGAACTATGTGGTTTTGGTATTTTGAACAACTGTAGAGTTTGTTACCATTATTAGTTTTCAAATTATTATTTTACTTTTTTGTGTTTCCATTTATTGCAGAAACGAATACGATGACACAATTCTTATCTTAGATGCTCTGAAGGTTACGGCCAACATTGTTTTTGGATATGCAACGTAAGGAAATCTTTCTTCTGCTATGCCACAGAGGTTTTGAAGCCAGAAGTGACCACGGAGATTGTGTAGCTAATCTTTTAAAGAAAAACACTTAACTGTGGTGTTAAGGGACCAGTAATTTATATCCATATCTTTGTCCTCATACTATCTTTTTTACTTTGTTCTTTGAATCATTCTACAGTCTAACTGACTCTGAAAATGTATCTGTAATGATTCCCAGTATTTAACGTTCCCATTTAGATATAGGGTAATGCCGGTGAGAGAACTGCATTCAGCAAACCAGAAACTGCTGGACAGTGTTCCTTATCTTTTTCTAATGGTTACTTGTAGGAGTGTTCTACTCATCTGAGTATTGTTTACTAGAGATGAAAAAACCACAGAGAAGAAAAAAACAAATTTTGCCCTCAGAGCCATAACATTCTGTTTCTTTGTGCTGATGGGGAAGGGGGAGTTATGTCGTGTGTGTTCCTCATGGTACTTACTGCACCGTGAGCTCATACAGAAGGTCAAGTACTGTGGAGCAGTTGAAAACTATAACCTATGTGCTGTACCCTCTTTGGTCTTGTGTCTCCTCTGTTAATGCGAGTTAAATTTCTAGAAAACAATGTGTTAGAAATATAAATTAATGAATTATTGGAGGGGTAGCATATAGATTGGCTCCTGTGTTTCTTATTCTAGGTGTAAAGAATAAAGTTACAACTGCAATTGAAACTATTTGAAGAGGTTACTTAAGCAGAAAGCTAAATAACCTCTCTCTCTCAGTTTTCAAGTCAAGTGCAAAAGCTGTTGAATAGAAGTAGTCAAGAGCTTTGATGAAGTCTTCTGTGAGAAATTTAAGCTCCTCATATAAACAGTTTGACATCAGCTCTGGTCTGTGGCTTGATTGTAAGTGAAATCTTCCCAGAATGAGTTGCTTGCAAATGAACATGAAGAGCAGGCTGGCCTTAGACACAACCTGGTTTTCAAATTGTGGGGTTTATTTCCCCCCATTCCCAACATAACTTTACTCCTTTTGTCCTCATGTTGATATTAATCATGCAGATGTTTCAGTGTTTTTTCACTGTCTGATATTGGTGATCCCATAGGTGCCAAGGAGCAGAAGCTTTTGAAATTCAGCAGTCGGGGTTGGCCAATGGAATCTTCATGAAGTTCTTGAAGGACCGTTTGTTAGAAGACAAGAAGATTACTGTACTGCTTGACGAGGTTGCAGAAGGTGAACGCCAGCTTACTGCACTAACCGTCTTCTCAGCCTGCATTACTAAAAACTTCTTTCTTTAAATGTCGTTCTTCTCATGGTGAATGTGTTACGCTACTTTAAGCTCATTCTTGTTGCATTTTGTTATAATAGCAGCTTTTATCAAGAAGCAGGGCAGCACGTTAACAAAGATCATGATGTTATAAAGGGATTTGAGCTTCTTTAATAGTGATCAATTTGATACTCTCCTTTTTAGTGAACTTTATTTGTTCTGAGTGTCTTTCTGCATGGAGCCTTGAGTTGTCCATCCACAGACATTACTCTTCTGTCTTGTGGTGTCAGCTGCTAGTGGTAATCCAGTCATTTCCACGTTCATTTAAACAATTAACTGAGTCCTACCTACCTCAGAGAGTGCTATAGTGATGATAATTATTTGCTCTCTATCAAAGGCTATAAGTGCACTATAAAGGGCAATCCACTGTTTTAATATGCCTGGTTCAGTAATTGTCTTTTATAATTGATGGGAGAAGTGCTAAAGTGAAAACCGTTGAGGGAAAATGTATTGCTTCTGTGCAAACATTTGCTCAAAACATAAAAGAATAGAGACGGCCATTAACAAAGAGCTGTCTGTGTAAGGTTCTGTTATTTGTAGGTAATGTACGTGATCAGCCAAGTTCTGCTGTGGTTTCCAGTGTACTTGGTGCAACTGCAGGTCTCGGCATTTTGCCCAGTCTGTCTTTTGACAGGGATCCAAAAAGCAGAAAAAAATCTGAGAGGATCCTAAATGCGTGGTAAAGTTCTGCTGTCAACAGGTCAGTTGAAAATGAAATGCAAAGCCTAGACCGACAGTGCTCTACTGAGGAAAGGGAAGAGATCATTGGTTGACTAGCTGAAATTCAGCATGGAATTTGTCATTGGTGGCAATAGGAATCCAGCATAACCCCAGGATGAAACTGAAATGTGATGGTTCTTGGTTACCGTTGGCTTGTTTGTCTGGTATATATTCTCATATATATTCCCTGTCTTTTTGCTTATAGTTGGTGTGGTGCTTGCCTAGATCCCATAAAACAAACTTACTGTTCTGTATTTTCGGTCTTATCTGTTAAACTTTCCATGAAGTTTCTGTGAAAAGTTAAAATTTCAGAAGATCTCAGAATTATCCTGAAGAAATAGGGTCTGTAGATGGTAAAACTAAAACAATTATTCCAAAGCCTAGGGCTGAGGTTGATTCCCCCCGCCCCCCCCGCAGGGTGATGTGGTTTTCTTCTTTTGCCAGGTGCAGACAAGCAGAGCGCTTTTTACATTAAGATTTGTACTTTTTAGTTGCTTACAGTACTGCTCAATTTTGCCATTACTTAAATACAAAGGAAGAATTTGAGGACTCGCTGTTCTCTCATTTGCAGGTAGCTGTAGCTGTATTTCCTGAAAGCCTGGCAGAAGCTCTGATAAAGCTCCTCCTGCTGGATGCTCACCAGCTGCTGTATTTAAGCCCGAATTCATTAAGTCATCGTTCCTGAAACTCTGTTTTGAAGCAGGCCCCAATATCTTCCCTTTCCCTCATCTTTCTTGCCTTCTGGGACATTCTGACTGTTAGACTGTTTTGTGAAAAGAGAACACTGTAATCTGCTCATCCTAGCATCAATACTACGTCTGTAGTATATGTATATACTACATCTTTAGTTTTTATCCCGTGTTCTCCCGTTGTCAGCCTGTTCGAAGCAGGAGTAGGAGTAGAACAGACACCCGCTCGTATTCTGCAATGGTCACAGACCAATCGGTCTTTCAACTTGCATAAGAAGTTTACAAATTTTATAATGAACAAATATCCAAAAATATTCTCACCTTCTTCCTCCCCCCATCTTTTTTGTCATTGCTTTTGGGTGTTCCTAAGTGGGTTAGTATTCTCTGAGATTTCTCTCTCCTGTTCCCCCCACCTTCCTGGCTTCCCCATAAGAACATGTCACAGTTCTTCCATCACCCATTTTCCCTACGCTTCCCCAAATGTCCTGTAGAATATGACTGACTGTTACTGCTTCGTCTGTTCTGCCAGGTTAATGTCACATGCTGTAGATGTTCTGATGTGTGACCTATTACTTATCTCATTCTTGAACTCAGAGTGGAGAGAAAGATTGATTTGTCAGGCAACGTGATAACCGCTATTGTCAGTATTACCAGATATTGGGTGTTAGTGAGTACATTGGTGCACTGATGACACTTGAAAATGTTCCAAAGGAGTGTTCATGTTAAAAGCGTTCCATGTAAATAGCCTTCATTATTTCATTTTTTATGAACTCGTAAATGGAAATTTTCCAGGATTTTTTTAATTCACTTTGCAGGCCATAGGTTTTGACTTTCTGCATGCGGCAAAACTATCTGAAAATGTCACCTTTAAATGTAATTGAACACTCGAACTCCCTACATTTAGGAGTAAGTTTGAATCGTAGACTGGTTAAAGTTGGAAAGGACCTCTGGAGATTGTCCAGTCCAACCCTGTTGCTCAAAGCAGAGTAAACTAGAGCCGGTTGCTCAGGACCTTGTCCATGTGGGTTTTGTATGTCTTCAAGGATGGAGACTCCACAGTCTCCCTGCACAACCTGTCCCAGTGTTCGATCACCCTTAGAGTAAAAAGTTTTTTCTTACAGTTAAGTGGATTTTTTTTTTATTTCATTTTGCATCTCCTTCCTCTTGTACTGTCACTGGTCTTGACTGAGAAGAATCTGGCTCTGTCTATTTTACTTTCCCTCGTCAAGTATTTATACATATCGATAAGAAGTCCCCTGAGCCACGTTCTCTCCATTCTAAACAGTCTCAGCTTCTCCTCATACAAAAGATGATCCAGTTCTCTCATACTTCTCTCACGTGAGAGGTGTTCCAGGCCTCTCATCTCTGTGACCCTTCACTGCACTCTCTCCAGTATGTACATGTCGTTCTTCTACTGGTGAGCCCAGCACTGGACCCAGCACTCCAGATGTGGCCTCAACAGTGCTGACCACAGAGGAAGGATCACCTCCCTTGGCCTGCTGCCAACGCTATTCTTGTTGGCTGCCTTTGCCACAAGAATGCATTGCTGGCTCGTGGTCAGCTTGGTGTCCTCCCGGTGCCCGAGGTCCTTCTCTGCAGAGCTGCTTTCCAGCAAGTCTGTCCCCTTTCTGTACCGGTGCATGGGGTTATTCCTACCCAGGTGCAGGGCTCGGTGTTTCCAGTTGTTGAACTTCATGAGATTCCTCTCTGCCCAGTTCTACAGCCTGTACAGGTTCCTCTGAATGGCAGCACAACCCTCTGTTGTATCAGCCACTCCTCTCAGGTTTTAATCATCTGCAAACGTGCTGAGGGCGCACTCTGTCCTGTCATCCAGGTCATTAGTGATGATGCTAAATAAACAGTATTGGCCCCTTTATCGACCCCTAAAATACTCCACTGCCTCCAGTTCTTTAGAAATCCCCTCCAATGGTATTATTCACATTCTTGAAATGAGTCATTTTAATTAGGACCTTACTGAATCAGAGCTATGATATTGCTTGAACTTGTTTTGAAAAACAGCACGTTGACTAGGACACATGCAAAACCCTCAGGATTCTCTGCAGGCATCTGGCATGCTGTTTTAGCCTTAAGTGAATGAATAGCTGAGCAATGAATACTTCCGAAACTACAAGTTTTTATGGAAGTGCTGACACTGGCATAACCATAGCAACGAAAAAAAATTGCAGTGATGTACTTAATTTAGTTAGCATTTCAGCAGCATTGATTTTGAGATGAACTATATGCATCTTATTTTTAGATATGGGCAAGTGTCACCTTACCAAAGGCAAGCAAGCTTTGGAGATCCGCAGCAGTTTGTCTGAGAAAAGGGCGTTAACCGATCCCATTCAACAAACCGTATCTTCGGCAGAGTCTGTGGCACGGAACCTACAGTGGGCCAAAGCTCATGGTATAGTATAGTCTGCTTTTAGATGATCCTGCTGGCACGATGGGAAAAATAAGAGGATGTCTTTCCTTAATAATCTCTAGTCTGTGGGTTGTGATATTGAATGGAAGTGGAAGAAATTCAAGTTCATATCTGAATTTTCATTAGAACGTTCAGATCTTGGAAATTTTTGTGTTGGGGTTTACCTCTTACATAAGATTATAATGAACAAGGTGACATGCAGAATTCATCCTGAGTAAGTATATTTAAGACCACTCAAACACTGTGGGAGAGACTTGTAGGATGTCCACCTCCTGGGATGATCTCCCGGTAATCTGTTTGTCTCTAACAAAGACGACGTGAATCTCATTCTAAAGTCATCACCTAAAATAGCCAGGTGAACTGTATGGTGAAAGTGCATGATGAAAAGGAGTTTTCAATGTGTACAACTAAGAAAACTAAAATACAAGTGAGATCAATTCCAGGCTTTCTAGACTTCTTTTAAGAAGGGCAGTGGGGTTTAAGACCATTATATCTTTTTTACCTAAATATGTTGGAGTACGTTTTAAAATTTCTTTGACAGGTTGGGCAGAGGGTCAGGGGTGGCATTTTTAAGACAACTAGTCATGCAGGCAGGCTCTCTTACAGATGTAGATTTTTATTTGTGGAATCAAGCCCTTCATTCTTGTTTTTTAAATGATTGAAATGCAAAACAAAAATTATAAAGACATAATGTTATCTTATGGTTTATTTGTTTTAAGCCATGCATAGAAGAGAATGTGTTTGGAATTTGGGAAGAGAATAACCTTTATATTTGTGTAAAGGTATGTCTATGATAATGTTAAATAATCCACTTCCAGTGGGAACAGAAAAATCAGTACAAAGCCTACAGGCACAGAATGATGTCATTGACCCTTGAGCGCTTTCAGATATGTTCCTATGGATTGAGAAAGATCCAAAATATAAAGAAGAAAAATGCTGCGGGCTGGGCTTTGTGCATGTGTGCATAGGCCGTGAAAGGAAAAAAATGAACCTGAAACTTGTTCTGCTGTCAAATTCAAAGGTTCTTATAATGCTATAGCTGTGTCTCCTGCCTAGCGGATATATGCCATATTAACCTTACTGGTTTGATTACAGATACGTAAACAAATTCTTGGGTCAGTAAGCTATACCCTAGTTACAGTAAACGTTGCCTTGCTAGTTGCACTGAGATTGGAAAGAAACCTGCGAAGCAGAAGTTGAGTCAGCTCTCTCTGGCAATGTCTGCCAGGTACCGTCTGATACTAGCACACAGTGCTGCTGCCTGGTCAGCTTCCAGCCTCGTTTGCTTCGGTGTGAATATGTAAGTGATAGGTAGAGGGAGGGCAGGCGGAAGAGGTCTATACCTTTTAAAACTTCTGAATTTAAAAACAAAATTAAAAAAATAGAAAATACATATGCTAAGTTTTATTTAGAATGTAATGTTGTGTTATTTATTTGCAGAGCTTCCAGAAAGTATGTATCTTGAATTCAAATGTGGTGTTCAGATTCAGTTGGGGTTTGCAGCCGAGTTTTCCAATGTCATGATAATCTACACGCGAATAGTAAAGAAGCCACCTGAAATAGTAGTTTGCAGAGCCTACGTGACAGACTTCGCACTCGTAAGTGCTTCATATTGGTGTCTCGGTGCTCTCCCTCCACTGAAGCTGAAAACTGTCCGGTCTGTCCATGTCAAACTGCATCTTTTGTAGTAAAACGGGTCTAAGCTGTTGAAATCAGGTGCTTACATGTGTGTGTCTGTACAGAGACACACATTTACTTTTTTTTTTCCTGCATATTTTTAATATATATAAAAATATGTTAAAATCAATCTGGGGTCATCTTTTTCAAAGTCTCCTTTGTTTTTCATTGTCTAATATCAAGTATTTGTTATATTTAATTAAAGAAGTTTAAATGTCAGTACCTCCTATGTGAGCTGAGGACACATCTACCTTTCAGGACAAGGTCTCTTAGGCTTTAGTTTTACAGTTCTTTGCACCTGGGTAATCCTGTCCAGTTCCATTGATGTTACTCAGCTGTTCACAGTAAAGTGAAGGGTACGAGTAAAAGAGAAAGCTCCTTGGAGCTAAAAAACTTGTTTTCTGATGTCTATGAAAGAGGACATGGGGCAGAAAACCTTTTTAGATAGAACAAACAGGACGCTTCTGATGAATAAAATATTTGAGCTAATGTGCATAATAAATACATGTATTTTTAGCCCACAAAAATAGTGTTGTAGTACTGTAGAAGTTGGGTAAAAAAGAGCAACCCTGAAGCAAGCACAGCAAGTTGACAGGAACCGTGAGGAAAAGAGGGTAACCTACTCAAATGTAACCCCTTCTGCCTGTGACTAAGAGTGATTTCAGCAGCTTTTGCAAGTTATCCAAGATTGATGCTTGCTTTCTTTTTAAGACGAAGAAAATGCTGACTTTATAAAAAGAAATGCTGCTAACTATTTTATGATCTACAAATTCTGTACCTTCAGTTAAGTTTTCTTTTTTTTCTTGCAACAGGACCTGGATGTGGATCCTAAAGAGGCCAATAAAGGAACCCCTGAGGAAACTGGAAGCTATTTAGTATCAAAGGACCTTCCCAAGCACTGCCTCTACACCAGGCTAAGTTCACTGCAAAAGCTAAGGGTTAATATATATTATTACTCACAAGTTTGTTCAGATAATTTAGATTAATCGTGTTGCTTTGCAGTTCTGTCGAGGTGGCTGTGTATTGTCTGCATAATAAGTAACATGTTCTTTGGAGGGAAAAAATAGCTAATAGCACAATTTAGTGACTTTAGTTTCTTAGCAGAAAGGTAAAAGCCAGGGAATCAATGCATATGCAATCCTGATACCGTCGTGCAAGGCACTTTGTATTCTCTAGGCCCGTATGGAGCTTTGACAAGATGATTATTTTTGTGAAGATAAGCTATTGCACACTGTGGGGATGTTCCTATGCCCTGTAGTACAAAAAAAATGGAACCTGAAGCAGATACGCATCTTACAAAGTCATTAGTAGGAGATGAAAATGTTACGTATCATCTCCTTCCATTCCAAACTGTGCTCTTGGGCCTGCAGTTTTTGAAAGGTTCTCACTTCAACGTACTGTGGCCCTGTTAAGTTTCTCTCTGTATCTTTGTGTCATGAACATCTGTGCTGGACATCACTTGGTACCTCTTCTTCATTGCTTTTGGCAGCTGGTGTAATATAAGTGCTTCTAGAAATAAAGACTATCAAGTGAGGAAGTATTAACTAAAAGAGGTCCTCAGTACACAAGTCTTGCCTAATATGGGTCTTTAGCTCCCAAAAAGGTTAGTCTCTCCTTCTCCAGTAGACTGTGCCTCTTTAAGTGTTTCCTATATTATTTCTTTGAGGAGGAAGTGTAACCTTTTCTTTTTCTTTTTCTCCCCCACCCTGCTTTCCTCTTTTGCAGGAACACTTGATCTTCACTGTTTGCTTGCATTATGAGTATCCAGGAATAGAAGATACAATGGATGAAAGAAAGGAAGTTAATGTTGGGAAGCCCCTTATTGCTAAATTAGGCCTTCATCATGGATTCAAAGATACTAACTGTCACCAGACCTGTTGCGTGGCTAATAATGCTTTTCATAATCAAATAGAATCAAGTCCAGTGGCAACTAAATACTACGTCCCTAGTCACTGCCAACCAAATTCCTGTCCAGGAGTTTACCATCCAAACCATATTTGCTCAGACAGCGTCGGCCAACCAGGCACATGTTCTTGCAATGGGACTTCAAGGATATTAGCTTCAAGACCTGAAGTACAGAATTACTCACCCCCTGTGGAAAAGAGTAATGTACCAGTAGAGACCACTGATGATACTGTTGAACTGGAATTCCTTCTCTCCGACAACCTCAGATTCTCTAAACAGCAGTAGCTGTGATGCGTTCAGAATAGTCCACAGTATCACCCTTGAATAGGGGGCCTTCCACACTGCCTATGCATCTCCTGGAGTCTGGGGGCTTCAGGAAAAAGGGATTGGAGAGTCTAGAGGTGGTACTGGAAATAAGGTGGTGATGAAAGTTTTTCAGATCCAAAGAGACAAAACTGGACTGATAGATTTAGATTTAGGAATGAAAAAGGCATGATTTTTTTTTTTTTTTTTCCCCTCCTACCATTTGACGGTTGATACAGGGAAAAACCTGAACTCCTCAGAGTTTCCTATTCCATTCTCTGGCAGTCAAACAGCTAACGAACAGAGGCAGTCGTGCATTTCTGGGAGGAAGCTGCCTATCTCTGTTAAGGGATTAATGCATAAAAGCCTGGCTGTGGTGACAAAGTTTCTCTTGAGATAGTAAAGCCTTGGATCTCCTCAGCTGCTTCTTCAGTCCCAACTGGAGTTACAAGATTTACTGTAAATGTATGTTTCATAAATATTCTGTTTTCAGAGAGGAATTGCTCATCCTATACAAAAACAAGATAAACATCTATGGCTGTCAAAGGAGAAAATGTTGACAGAATTAAGCAGGAAAATGAATTTCCATGTCCTCTATGATTTAACATGATTTTAAACAATCCATTAGCCCCAAAATGATAAGTACACCTTTCTCTTTTCCATCTTTCAGTTTCAGTTGTTCAATATCAAGGGATTTCTTTTTACATACTGCATGAAAATAAGGTTTTATGTCTTTATATATGTTGTAACAGCTTGCTATTGAGTATCTAAGATGACACATAAGGTAAATGAACAGAGCAAAGAGGGAGCTTTTACAGAAGTGAAGATACCGTGTTTTAATGTTCCAGTGTTGAGAATATCTCCTTCAAGCCTCAGTTTCTTTCCTTCCTCATGTATGTGTTAGGATCAGTCACTGATATTCCAGTCCCTTGGATGTAGCTAATAATTGATCAGCTTTGACTGCATCCTCCTCTCATGGTCAGATGTCCAATGTCTGGCAGCAACTGACAGATGGATGAAGAGCTGTGCAAGGAAGACAAAACCTGAACTGAGCTAGTAAACTAACATTATTGCTTTTTTCTTTCTTTTATTTTTAAGAGAACTAGATTACAGATCGTCAGAGGGAGCAAAGTCACAGATTCATACTGTGGGGGATTGTTCTTATTATGATAATCTTTCCCTTATGTAACACACTTAAGACTTTTACTGATCTGATTTCTGCAGTTCTGTTCTGCAAGAACACTAAATGGAAATGTGAGGAAAAAGTGCCTGTTCATAGCAGGCGAAGTATTGCATAGTTAGTCACACAGTAAGACATGCTGAAGGCTAAAAATGAATGGGCAAGATGAGTGAAAACTTTGGGGTTCTTCAGGCTGAAGTACCGGGAGGGTGTTCCTGGACACCAGCTGTTGCTTTTCTGTGCTGACTTTAGCAAACAAACAAACAAACGCTATTCGTGTTTTCCAGGCCAAATGTATTTATATTCATTCAAATAAAAATGCTCACAGTCTACCCTGAAACTGTGAAAATCCAAGAAAAAGATTCCAGTGCACACAAACTTATAAAAGATAAAGCAACTTTAAACGCAGCCTGCCGAAGGTGAGGGACGCTTGCTTCGTGTCACAACCTGACACTTCAGATAGAGCCCTACAGGTGTGCATTTGCTCCGGAGCTCGAAGGTGGGGTTCACCCATAGACTAGCTGCCAGAAGTAAGCTAGTCTTCTAGGGCCTTTAGCCTCTGAACCCCAGAATCTCGCTATTAGAGGTGGAGGCATAGGCACCTTCAGAAGACAGTTGATCCTCTACTGAAAGGCAAATGAGCTACTTTCATATGGTGCTTTATTGCTTCGTTGACCAAAGGGAACAGACAGACTTAGCTTGGGCTAGCTGCCAAACCTTTTAGATGTTGCAAATTTTTTGATCTGTGCTTGGAAAAGGGCAGTTTTGCTCACCAAACTGTTTTGCATATTCAGGTTGAATAGTTTGGTCAAAAAAGACACATCAATTTTTTTTAATGTTTGGTTTTGTTTCAAAATACTGAAGAATCTGTGAGTTGCCTATCTGGGGACGAGTGTGAGAACACTGATGTTTTATTAGGTCTTAAAAAGTCTTGATGCTTTGAAAGCATGAAAATATCAGGGTGTGAGGTAATTCAAATTCAAGGGAATTTTCAGATATGGGTAGTAGCCTTTCCTGCCTAGGTAATATTGATAAGCAGTATTGCTTTAGTTAAGATCCCCATCAGGAAATAATTTTTTACTTTAGAAAATTACCGTAGCACTTTTCATTAAGTAGACAGCAAAATATAAAATAACTGAATGTCATTGACGCGGTGACCAAAGCAGTTTAAATCTGCAGTTGAGATCCACCCTTCTGGTGGGATCTGGTCGTCTTACAACATGTTGGCTGGACACTGAGGGCGGTGCTGTATGTGGTCGTAACAAGTTTCGGGTGGGAATGTTAACACATCGTTAACCACATCTGTCGATCTTCAGATTCATCTGCGCTGAAAGGTGGATATCTGTACATGGATTTTAATGTTGTCGTTTCCAAAATGACAGCCATGCCTGAAGTAATCTGCAAATGAGCTTGAGTTCCTGACTTTCTCCTTTGGAGGGTATTAAATAGTGAAATATTTATTGATGAATGAGATGTACCTGTGCATTAATTGTCCTGTGTAATTGACTTATAAATCAAAAATCATAGCTTGAGACGTTGGCCGAGTACTGTAATATTTAGCTGATACTTTTGTCACAGTTTTCTAATTTGTATAAAAGCTTATTCTGTTTCTTACTGTGTAATAAACTGTTGTCCACAAAATGATGTATCTGTGCATATGTAGTTGCTATAGTCTTCTACTCCTCCCACTTTAAAAACCCCCAAACTGTATTAAAACAATGTGTACAATAAAATAGTTTCCTTAACAAAAAAGAAGGGAAAATCTGAATCATGAGCTTCACCTCAAGTTAAATTTATATGCACCTAGGGCCTGTACAGGTTTCTCAAAACTACGCACTTAGAAGTAGAAGATTGTTTTTGGGGGTTTTTTTTGCAAGTTTATATGCCGTCTAGCTTCTGATATCCCAGCTGTACTGCTGGCTAAACCTAAATGATCCTTCTCCATTGCTTCACAAAGATATCCAAATGAGTTTCAGTAATATTTGGACAATTTCCTTGAGAAATGTGGCTAGAGAAATAATCCAATTATTAAACCTTAAAAGTTGTCCAGAGAAAGGCAGGGGAGCTCACTGTATTTGCTTGTCTGTTTGCAGGCGCCTCCTTCGTGGCACGGGAAGGGCTTGCGGGAGCAGCAGCGCGGATGCGTGAGTAGCTGTCTCCCAGCACGGCTTAGAGCTGCAGCGTCGCCGATGCCCTGCTGCTAGAGGGCTCTAACGTACGATGTTAGTTCTCGAGCTTAGTATGTGGTCTGATGGTACGCGGTCTTTGTCAGCCTAGGTAGGAACCGATTAACCTTTGAGGATCTATACCTAAGGTGCTTGAAGTGTAACTATATTTGACCGTGGTAAAGAAAACATCATAGAACTGGAGAGATTGGAGAGGGACCTGTGCAAATCGTCTGACAAAACTGCCTGGGGCAGTAGGGTCTGTGGAGGAAAGCCTTATCGTTCTGAGCCCTGCTTAAAAAGGGAATGGTGATAGAAAGGCATGTTCGTATTGTATCACCGCCTTTAGGAACTGCTTTAACTGTTTTAATCATTGATGTTAAGGGTGAAATGCTCTGGTTCTTAAGGACAAGCTGCAAAAGGGAGCCGTTTCCTTTGGCCTGTATCCAATAAAGCACTTTAACAGTTCAGCATGCATAAATTAAGCCAACATTTAAATCCCTATGAAATCAGTGGGATTAAAATACATGACTAAACTTAGGTATTTTTTAAAGCTCTCTTTGGCTTGCGATGCCGTTTCTGAACTGAAGCCTTGGGGTTTTTTTTTCCCAAAGTGCAATTGTTTGGGGATAATATCTTTTGCTTGAAGTATCTGCTAGCCTAAGTTACTTATGTGTGTGTTATTTGGTTTTGGATGTTGCATGTGTTTGGAAGAAAGGTTTTAAGGTGATCCAAATAAGCTCAGGCTTCTCTGGCAAAGGAAGAGTTCATATGCTTCAGAAAGGCCAATGTGCTTCTTCGTTTTCCCTCCCCGCTCTGCAGTAAGGTGGGGTAATTAAATGTAAGGAGCTGTTGTTAACGCAGCATGAAACTTCTGAGAGTGATCCTATTTCTAGCGAGCAACAGGAATAGAGGAGCATGAGAGGCTTACAAAGAAAGAGCTCTCCAAAACTAATGGTTTGGGATTCATTTGGTCTTTGGTTTGGCATTTTGAATTTCACATCCTTGGCCTTTGCTGACTATGCTGGCCGTGCTCTTTGCCGATCTATAGAAGATAGTGCTGGGACGTAACACGGCACCAGCTGCCACTGGCTTTGGGTAAGCATCCGCTTGTGTATTTGTGTGTCGTGGCAAACCGCCAAAGGAGATCCATACTGTTATAAGCAGTAAGACATTTGTATTGTCCCATAAGAACCTTTCTCTGCCAGTCCACTTTGTTTTCTGTCTTTGTGCAAGTTCTGTAGGCCAGAAGCTTTCTCTCTTGAGGTGTTTCTTGAATAGCACTCTCAAATCATTGTGCTGTCGGTAGGTTTAGTAGGAAGGATTTTACAGTTCTGCATGCCTGTCCTAGTGCGCTGTTAACCGTTTGGCACACACTGTGGGTACATCAGAACAGCTGTTGCGTTGTGAAGGCATCAAGTGGCCAGAATATCATTTTGGCTCTCAAGTTGGCCCTGGCTAGAAGTATTAACTGCAGTAATTCTCTCATCTGATTTTTGGCACAGCTGAGCTCTGAAACCTTCTTGGGGTAGAGATCAGCTGGTGTTCCTGGATTGCACTGTTTGACACCAGAGGTCACGGAAACCGGTGAACTTCGTGCCTGATGTTGAGATTGTGGGAGGACAATAGCCAAATAC